TTTCCAGTGCAAATAAACAGTGCAGAGGTCTACAAGGGTGGACTGGCCCCCCTTATCCCAGAGGTGAAGCCCTCTCCTTTGTTGTTGCCTAATCTAGGCCACTCTCTATTGAGTGGGATGAAAAGTGGATCTGTGTGTGAGTGTTTGTGTGCGAGTGTGTGCGACATATCCACGGCTTTCAATGTGTGAGATGAAGCTGTATGATAATGTCTGTTTGTATGTGGTTCTTGAATCAGGGTCTTCGGCCTGTGGAGACCGCCGCTGTGTTTGCCAGTTCCCAGATAATCCACATCCTTACAGTGGACCTATACATACCAGTCCCAGGATCCTCAGTGCAGAGCAAACTGACAAATACCAGAACAACTGACCAACAATTCTGCATAAATCAACAGCACCTGCCCGCGTGAGATATGATGAAGAGAGGATGATGTTGATATGGTAGCAGTTGATTTTGAACAGCATAAAAAGTTGTACGTCGTACTTGACAACTTAACAACTCTGCCTGTCACTGCAAAGTAGAGGTCTCCACTGGTCTACTAACCCAGGACCTGAATTGGCAGGGGTCTAAATTTTATTCAGTGTAACTGGGTTGAGGTAGTGTCCCATTGTATTGCAGCAGGTTTGTGTGTAATGTCAAATACCAAATAGTATCAGAGCAAACTATCATGTGGTCTCTCATAATCATCACAGGAGGAAAATGTGTTTTTTGATGCAAGATGAAGAGTGTGAACTGTGAAATTTAGAGAAAACCGCGGCTTCTCATCAGTAGCGTTGGGTATAGTTTTAATTTTATCATTCCCAGTTTCAATGTTTTTTGTTTAGATAACAAAAATATCTTTACTTTGACTTTTAGTGTTTCATTAAAATAAGTAACATTCACAAAGTACATACATACAGTAAAAATGTATGATCCACAGTCAGTACATACATTTTCTTGTGGATGCTGTGGACTTGGACTCAGTTTTCTCCCCTTCATTACTAAAGGGAACGGTTCTTTGGATCCCAGACAGCATACACTGAACATTCTTTCAGATAAACGCCGTAAATGCCTTAAATGTTTTGTTAAATGTGATGTACACCATCACTTACAGCTAATTAGCCTAGCTTCCCACATGCATTGCAGTTTGCCTTGTTATTTGCTTTAATAACAAGAAACCACACTTCTGAGCGTTTACCGCTGTGCATCTTTCACTACTGTTGTGACGACGTTAGCCATGCGTGCTCGTGTCTAAACAAATCGACACGCTGTTGCATTGATGCATGACGTAGACAGGTCCTGGCAGATAGCCACATCCTTGCAGATAAGTAGCTTTGTTTGCAGTAATAAAGGCTTGTCACGGGTTAGGAACTGATAAGCAGAACCAAAATAGTGGGTACCCAGTTCACGGCATTTTGGATTCGGGGTCTAATTTGAAACTGGTTTTTGGTTCCCAACCTTACTCATTAATTGTTCATGCATCATACTGCTGCCTGTGTTGGTATTTTTTCTCTGTCAGGGTCGTTTTTGGGTCGTCATCATTACTCGCAGCTCTGTTCGGACTGGGTCAGACTGTCCTTGAGTCCCTTTCAGATCTGGATTCGTATTTTTTAAATGCACAGCAGGTTCCAAACATTTTGACCCATTAAGACCTCTACTGCAAAGGCTTTATGTGGATGATTGGAAGATTTTACTTGTGTGTCATGGTGGTTCTTCTGATGACATTAGAGAATATCATGATTATTTTTATTCCTTTACATTAAAATAACAAGTTAAATGTATGTTTTTAATGTTTCTATTCAAAATGTAATAAATCAAAATGAAAGTCTGGATAAATGGTGTGAGTCTGAAATACCTGTAGCAACAGTACGTACATAACAGTATATAAGAGCTACTCAGAGAAGTACATAATTTGTAAACATGTAACAAACTTCCCAAAACCATCTCAGTGTTGTTTTTAATTATAGGGACATGACAATAAGTAGGTTCAAATAGTGCCTTGGCAAGTGACTTACAAGTGATCATAAAATACTTGGTAATTTGCTCCCTCTTTATACGTGGCAACATCCCGTATTTGAGGTGGAGGAAGAGGTTTTTAGCATCGCCACTCTTCTTTGGCACGAACTGCTTTATTCTGGGTTTTTTTTAGAAGAGGGAGATGAAGACAATGACAACTTTGCAAAGGAATGATAATTGTTGAATTAATTTGTGCTTGTTAGTTTTGTTTTGTTATTTTCATATTCAGAAACATTATCACTCAATTTACCTAAAATGTCACTTAAAGAACATTGCTGTAATAAACAACAGTTTTTGGTTCTCAAGATGATCTTAGTCTCTTAAGAGTTGGTAGGAGGCATTTGTTAAGAGCGTCTTCAGTTACAACGCTCTTGGGAAACACCTCTTAAGCTTAAGGAGGTTTGTGAAATGGATTTTACAATCATTGTAAGAAGCTTTTAGGCAACGAGGTACACAACGTTAGAAACTAAATTGTTCCTGGAACCCGTATTCATGTAGCCGTTCTTGTCTTGGTCCATTTTTCTTACACATGCAAGTGCGTGTGTTCAAGGTCAAAGGTCAAACCACGGAGAGGCAGAGAGGAAATTATTTCAGAGGATTGTTTTTGTTTGAAAATTTGATATTTTTTTTCTCCCTAACTCAATAATGAACTTTTCATACTTTTTATTAAAATCTATCAAGCATATTAAAGGACTGGAATATATTTCCATATCAAGGTTGGATTACTTAGTAAACTTTTGTGCAACCCTTGTATAAATCCACATTTTTTGACAAGGCTGCGTCGTCCTATGAAGCCTCATTTGTAAAGTCTGCGTATCTGTGCAGTTCTGCACCTGCTCACACTTCACCTGTTGTTATGTCCCACATCAACATTCAGCTGCATCACTGGAAATGAAGGACACATTTCGCAAAATGTCTGTGTTGTCACAAAGCTGCCCATGCACTTTGGATATCTGGCAGTTCACTCAGGGATTTTGAGACTCGCAAAAAGTTTATACATTATGGTGTTTACAGCCTGTTCTGTACCATGATTACAAGTAGGACTGCTAAGATAATTTATCATTAGGGAAGTTTGTGTGAAGAACCTTCTTTAAAGTCTCCTAGTGACTGTGTAGCTCACTGACATGCCCTCAGTGCTCGAGTTATTATCCCAACTCATGTCAGAGCATCAGCAGGAGGGCTATATTTGTTTCTAAGCAACAGCTAAAGCTCACAACATGCTAGCCATAGTAATGTTCAAAATGTGGTATACTTCTTGACTTTTGTGCCCTTTGTTATGCTACACATAATATAACATATCCTTTATATGAGCCTGAGTAGCTTCAGCTACATTTTAGAAATACTTGCATACTACAAGGATCTTTGCATTACATAACATTGCACACTGCAAAGAAATATTCACAAATAATATTTTCCTAATGTCTGATTTTGTCACTTTTAATATTTGTATATTTTAAACAGACTTCAGTTGAAGTTTCCTCTTAATTTCCCTGTTGACGCCTCTAAGTGCACCATACATGGCGTTTCACTTTTAAAATTATCTTGAATGTATTTTAAACATATAAAACACTAGTAAAATGATAATTAAAGTATATTATTTTAACTACTGCCACCACAGCTTTATACAACATCCTAATAAATCAATAAAATGATGCGTGTCATATACCTTAAGCTAGCCAAAACTTGTCTACTTGTTTCATGGAATACAGAACCCCCCCCTCCTTGACTTGAAATGTGAAGGGTCGAAATGGACACCCACATAAACAAATAAATACAATTTTTATTAGAAAATTACATGGAAAATTAGGACAGAAACAAATGAGTGAAACGAGCCAATGTTTGAACGAGGTAAAAGCTTTGTTTTGCAGCAAATGTTTTCATGATGGAGGAGGGGTTGAAGCAGGGGAGGAGGAGGGGGAATCAAACTGATATTTAGCCCCTACTGGCTTTTTTCCCCCTGCTTTTGTTTTATGCAGGGCTCTTTTTACCACATGGTAGTGACAGATTGTTTGAGCTGAAAGGAAAAGCCATTCGAAGCTAATTAAGCAGCCATTCCAGGCACTATTCGCAGGCAGGAGGGAGAGACGCGCAGGCATTTGTCAGCGCCGTACCCAACGTGGGTTTAATTGACAACCCCGGCTCCTGACTGACAGCTTTTCCAGCGCTGAGCCAATTGTAAGCTGCGCATGCAGACAGCTGCGACGCCATTGGATAAAAGGCTGCGAAGGGGGAGGGGGAGGACCCACGTGGGGGCCAGGCATAGTGAGCAACACTTGATAGGCTCATATCCTCACGCGCAGACGTGTTGTAGCCTACCTACTGCTGCTGATAGGAAAGCTTGTAGATGCTTGAGGTCTCGTTAGAAATAGGTCGATCAATTCAAGTCACTCAAAGGACACTCTGCTGTAGATTAAGCGGTATTCACATCTTCTGCGCACTTCGGGGTCTTGAATGAATTTGTATGAGCTCCTATTTTTTTTGGCATAGTAACAGGACTTATTTCTCCTTTCTTGGTATCTCTAACCTCTCCTTGAATTGAGAGTGTTATCTTCCTGGTGCAAAGCTAGTGTTCAGGGCCAGACTTGCTTCTCTCACACTCGTCCACATATCAAGCACGTATCACATTTAGGCTACAGCCTATTGTTTTAATCAAAATGATCACTTATATCTTTGGCTTATTTTCCTGTTTACACCTGCATAGTGCGTGTAAATCGGATTTTTTTTATGGAAAACCTCGCAGGTATATACTCTATATAACCTGAAACGCCAAACCACCGCCCGCAATACGCGGACATATAAATTATTGCCTTTGTTTTGAACAAGCTGTTGAACGCACTGAATGTCACTGCAAATCCAAAATGGCGAACATGTGAGGTCACATTTCGTATGCCCAATCAGAACGCAGGTACACGGAACACCCCCACGTGGGTACATCACGCCGTGATTGGTCACCGTCGCTAAACTCCTTCGGAGAACCCAATTGGTTAGTGCAGTCTCGGCAGTCGGGTCCTCGTGTCAGTGCACAGTCTGTGTGTGGTACAGCGCGCGGCGGAGCAACTGGGTATACCCAACGGCAAGCTAGTGGTATATTTCACAACGGCCGACATTTATTAAAAAACGGTTGTTCGCCAAAAAATAGTCTTTGGACTTACTTGAAGATTCGTGTACTACTACTGGATCTAACATAGGCTTTCTCTGAAGTTGCCTGCCGCCAACAACTCGTCCCATTCGAGGGGTTTCCAACGTCCGACCGACCGGAGAGACGCTCTCCGCCTCGGGATCACCGGGGTTTTAAAGGACTCTCAAGGCGTGTATGAAAAATAAAATTTGGCCACGGACCTTTTCCGCCCGTCTCAGTCCGTGGTGACCGTCACACAGGACAAGGATATTAAGCTTTGTGTCTGGATACTATTTTTATTTTTTTTTACCTGTGCAGCAGAGAGGGGAGGAATCAGTCAAGACAAAGGTAAAAAGGGCGACATGAGGAGAGACGCTAACAAGACGGGTGGTGGTGGTGTGGCTTTATGGCAGCCGAGTTTGAAAGCAGCAGCTCCTTGTTTTCTGATCTTCCCAGACCAAACCAAAACAACCCTGTTGTGTGTTTGTGTTCTTTTTTCCTCGTTGTGGAAGACAACTCGTTAGATTTACGGGGGAAACAAAGCATCACACCGTCGAGGGTGTGATCAAAAGTATCAACTTCGGGATTTATTTGATGCATCGGATCAAACACGTTTTGCTGGCACTCTTGTTCCTCCCTGTGTAATGCAAATCGAGACGACAGATATAGATTTTTTTGACAGAAAATAATCATAATGCCACAATGAGGATTAAAGAGCATTTTATTGTGGTTTTATCGGGGAGGAGGTAGTTGGCTAGACCAGTGCGGTTAAGTTTGTAAGGCTTTAATTCCTGTAGATTTACAAACAAGGTGCTATGATCTCTTGTTGCCAAAGTGATTCAGCTCCTCAGCTGTGCCCCGTTTTCTGTTTGTTTAGGTACAAAGGAAAGACCGACGGGGTGATACATCCAGTGCAAGGGTGCAAAGAGTGTGCGCCTCGCAGCCGAGAACGGGGCTTTGTCCGCCGCCATCCTGCGTGTACAAGGGAGGGGGTGGCGGTGATTTACCGCACCTTCACTGGGATTACGGAAAGAGAGAAAACGCACCGAATTCCCCTGTGTAAAGGACGCGACATGTATCCACAAGGCCGGCATCCGGTAAGTAGCTGTCTTTGTCACTATTTGTAAATTGATGCAAATGCACCACCCTTCAAAGCAGCCTAATTAGCTCGTCAGTGTGGAACTGCTGGTCCACACCTTACTATTTATGGTCTGCATCGGTGCTGCCGAGGAGCTTCACCCTGGCAGGAGAGAAACTGGGAAATCTTGTTTATTGGCAACAAGATCAGAGCTTTTGGTTGAAAGTAGATCACCATCTTCTTTAAACTGACTTAATTTCTCAGTACATTTAGTTATCTTTGCATTTTTACAGTGCTAACAGGTTAATTCTGCCTTTTGAGGAAATCCCACAACTTTGTATGTATGATCCCCCCCCCCCCCCCCCCCCATCTGACTAACATCTAACATTACTTTGAGGATGGATGAAGTGACCCGCCTCTGTCATTGCACATGTTGTTGAGTGAAAGCGGCTATTTCCTCTGCCAGTCAGGGCTCAGGGGAAACGGGAGGACAAACCATCAAGAGAAAAAACGCTGTTTGTGAAGAAAGGGGGTTGGGCAGCAAGAAAGAGATGAGACCATTATCTGGACTGTGATGGCGTTATTTACACCTGCGGTATCTCCAATCTTGCACTTTTCAGGCACCTCACCAACCAGGGCAGCCTGGCTTCAAGTTCACTGTGGCAGAGTCCTGCGACAGGATCAAAGACGAATTTCAGTTCCTGCAGGCCCAGTACCACAGGTAATGACTAGCCTGCTGTAAACAGCATTGGCTTCCTGGAAAGAACTGAAAGAGGAAGCTGTTTTGTTCCATTTTTGTAGCTTCATGCACCAAATCTACACTGATAGTTTGCGTTACTGTCATGAATGTATCTTTTGCTTGATGTAATACACCCAAATCAAAGGTTGTGCTTTAATTTATGTAAATAACATATATCAAACCTACAATCATTGTGTTTCTCTCCTCTTTTCCTAAAGTCTTAAAGTGGAGTACGATAAGCTGGCCAATGAAAAGACCGAAATGCAGCGTCACTACGTCATGGTAAGAGTAGTAATTGTACTGTTGTATCCGTATCCTCCCTTTAGCCTCAGGTGAACAGTCACAGGTGGTGCAGCCCTGATGTTTTGCAAAGGCCAGGCTGCCATTTGTCTCTCGCCTTTGGCCTCTGTTTTCATTGGATAAGAAGGTGCAGGATGTGTGTGTGTGGGGGGGGGGGGGTAGTTGTAACTCTAGCAGGGGTCAAATGTCCAACCATTGATTGTGGGGTGTGACGACCCCCTCTGTGGCCCTGGGGTCCTCTTTATGACCCTCCACTGCCCCTCCCTAACACACCCAACATGATCCACTGGGGGCTAATGATGGGTCTGCTGGCTTTATGCATGAATCAGAGAGTTTCCTCTATTTTATTATTATTTTTATTTACTTCTTAACGTACCCAAGGTGAACCACCCAGGGGTTTCACAGACTTTCACAGATATGGAGAGACTTTGTGTGTTTTTCTCAAATAGACTAGTTCCACTATCTGTATCACAGTGTGGGAAACATGCAAAATTGCACATAAAATAATGGGTGCAATGAACATTGCATTAAAGTACACGTGTAAAGCAAAAACTGGCTTTGAATCACCAATTTGGATGTGATGTCATATCTAGTTGAATTGATTAGTCAACCAATAAAAACTAATAAAAAAGTACTATTTTAATTATTTAGTTGTGATTATCGCATATATTTTGAGTCTGTTTTGACCATTTTTTAAAATCAGAAATGCCAAGTATTTGCTGGTTCCAGCTTCTGTATTGTGGGAATTTGCTGCTTTTCTTTGCCCTTTATGACAGAAAACTGAAAATCTTTGGGTGTTTGGACAGTTACACCAGGAATCCACTGACTCCGGCGCGTTACGACTGCACCATGGTTGCCGGAGCTAATCACGGCCATTATAGTCTATGCTCGTGAGTCCACCAGATGCGGCCGAACCATCAAGCAGCACAGAGCAGATCGAACCAGGAAGGAAGTCAGACATAGAACGGCATAGAGAATCGGGGTGATTTTCAAAATAAAACACCCTGTGGAGACTCTCGATCGTAAAACAACAATAAACACAGTTAAAACGGACACAAAAAGAAATCATTTAACTACGTAGCCTACTTAATTATAGTAGAAGCACAAAATGCAAACACTTGATTACCAAATTCACAAAATCTAAACATGTCAGCAGGCAAAATGCCTGAAACGCTTCCGAGATGCTTCCAGTGTACTTTGATGCCGGGCTATGGATGCACCAAAACTGTGGCGCAGCTGTAACACAGCCGGAGTCAGTGGATTCCTCATGTTAGTCTGACAAAACAAGACAAGATCTCCTTGGGCTCTGGGACATTGTGATGTGTATTTATTTCCTGTTTTGACATATTATAGACCAAACAAGTAATATGTTAAACAAGAAAATGATCTGCATGTGAATAAATGATTAAAGTAGTAGTTTTAATACTAATATCATTGCAATTCCATTAAAAGTCTGCCACCAACAATATTAAACCATTGTTCAGCCCTGATACATATTTAAAATCTTGTGTACTTTGTGTGTCAGGACTTGTACCCATTTCTGGAAAAGTTACTTGAGGATTAAGAAGAAATGTAAAACTGCTCCAATACTATGATTAAAATGTGTTACATTAAGTTCAGAGCTCCCTGATGATCAAATAAAGACCAAAAAAACTTGTGTCGCTGTGAAGGCAACCCAACAAAAAGGTTCTTTCTAATACAGGAAAAGCTGCATTGTGTTTATGGGGAAAGAACAATCTTCATCTGACAAGTGATGCAACTTAGACCTCACTCATAGTTTGTGTATGTGCGTGCTTATCTTGTTTGTACATGAAAGGAATTACTTTAACCAAACGCAGCAGTACGTTTGTTAAATATTATTTTCCCTGTGAGGGACCAGAAGGTGGTGGGAGTAGCTATAATAAGTGGAAGCTGTTTGCTGTGTGTTTTATAAACAATACAAACTACTAGGCTTTAGTTTGTATCTGTTGGTGGGCTCACAAGCTTTTGGCAATCAACAGCAGATAATGTTGTTTTCAATAATAGTATTGGCTTTCTCCGGGTGTTTGAAGCCGTAGACTGCGTTTTTAGCTCAAAAGACTGGCAGCAGACGTAAACGAGAACAGTAGCCAATCGTCTGTCGGCTGTGGTTGCACAAAGAACATGAAGTTGTCAAACTCTTTGGTTAATGTTTGTATTTTTATTTAATGGCTCAACCCTGTGCTCCAACAAGTATTCAGCTTGTCTCTTTTATTGTTTGGGTGCTTTAGAGAACTGATAAAAATGTCGTTTTTTTACAGCCTTGTTGCACAAAGAAATCCTCTGCTTATAATGAGATAAGAAAAAATGTACCTTAGGATTTCTTTGTACACAGTTAAGCAAGGGCATAGAGTAGATGTACAAATGAAAATGCATCATTGAAAAGTCTTTGTTTAAAATTTTTTATGTATTAATGTTTGTCTCTCCTCTATTTTACAGTACTATGAAATGTCCTATGGGCTCAACATTGAGATGCACAAACAGGTATGTAGCCATATCAGGGATGGTCTGTGTACAGCCAAAACACTGTTGTTTTTTTCCCCTCTGGTGATTGAGGAATATAAACACACGCACACACACATACCTGACCTTAGTTCCTACCCTCATCCCTAAATGGCTTTAGGAGGCATAAACATACTGGTTTCCCATAGTGAAAATGCTGACAGGCTAAACAACACGAAGGGCACGCTGCCTGATGGGGATGGTTTGATAAGATTAAAGTGAAGTATTTGGCAGACAGTCTGAGAGGATGTGTTGTTTTTTTTTAGTAGTTTGTCCTTCTAAGTGTGTGAGAGTGTGTGCGTGCACGCACGCACATATGCCTGCACTATTCTGTGTCTGCCTCCCCAGTACCAGCCGGGCTAAAAGCTCATTAGTTCAGCTGCCACCCAGTACTGGGCATTATGCTGCAGAGGAAAGACTTCTACGGATGAATAGGGTAAAAATATTCTTCAAATCACCCAAGGAGCCATCTCAGTAAACTGGAGGGGGGTGGGCGGCAGATATGTTAAAATCATCTCAGCCTCAAAAAACAGTGGCCATATTTCTCACCAGGCTTCTTTGGTTTGATTGTCATAGTTACTTAGCTTAACGCACCCACGCCACCAAGAACGCACCCCGATGTAGTGTCCCCGAGCATAACACCAAAAGCTTGGTAGCTCCAGCAGTGCTTTTCTGTCAGCTGTGCTCTGATATTCCTCTGGATGAAAATAAGGGCTTTCTTCAATGTTTTTGTTGCATGTGTTATATTTTTCTTCTCTCATCTGTCTTTGTGCTTAATGTCTTCCAACACCATCTTGGAAATAAATGTTGTCACTTTAATATGTTAGTCCCTAGATTCAACGTGTTTTTCTGTAGTGCTGGAACAACATTTTGACATTTTATGGTCTAAACATCAAACAGTCAAGTCATTAATCTAATAATGAAAATAGTTCTTAGTTTCAGCCCTTGTTTTATACCTGCAAGATGTCTAGAGGTGGGCGTGTCCACAGGATAAGGAGTGTGCATGACGTCTGTAATTGGCTGGTTAATGTTTGGTATGGTTAGGGTAAGACATCAGCAGTCATGTCTGCTGTAGACACCGTAGTCCTAAATGCAATACATTGCCACTCATAACACTGCAAAAAACACTGTGTTTAGCTAAATATATGACCTGAGGCCATTTTTAGTCAGCCGTATGAAACATTTTCTTTTGTATTAACCAACATCAGCATAATCTTTTATTCAGTTCACTTAAAAACAGGGGGGGGGAGCTTAATGTAATCTCAAGATGCCCCTCTACTATCTTTCTACACTTACATTTCCATTTTCTCTGATTCCATCTTAGTTTCTGTTTCCCCTCATCACCTTTGCCTCCTCGCTTCTCCTCTTCCATGTGCCCTCGTGTCTTTTCATTGCTTCCCCCTCCTCTGCCTGCCCTGCCACCCCAACGATGGGATGTGAATGATGGCCCTTTTGTCATTAGCTGTGTGATATGATGTATGAGAGTGGGATTCTGTCAGAGAGGGAGAAAGAGAGACAGAGAGAGGTGGGGTGGAGGCTTCATGGCCCCTCAGATCCAGAAGGTTAATGGCATCAGTGGGAGGGTAGCCCAGTTGGAACAGCAGCACACTGCACAATTCATCAGCTGTAGACATTTTTGTGGGCACGTGTGTGTGTGTGTGTGTGTGTGTGTGTGTGTGTGTGTGCGCGCGCGCGCTAACTAGGTGTTTTCTGTTTATCAAGGAGCTCGCTGCCTCTCAATCCCCACCCACCCTGTTCCCCGGTTCTTGAGCGTTTTCTGTTAGGCACTTATCACCAACAAGGAGGTTGAAGCGATACAGGGTGGGGGAGGAGCTGGTTGTTGCGGGTGGATGCTGGTGGCAAGTGGACAAAGCAAGGGGGGGTGGTGGAGACAGGAAAGGAGAGAGAGAGAGTCTTCGGGGTAAATGGGTTAATCGACTCGTCCTCTCCCGTGCATCTCCTTTGTTTATCAATAAGCCCGGTGGAGTCGACGGAGCACTCCTGAATAATGCATAATTCCTGCCACCTCCCTCCCCCTCTCTCCCTTCTCCAATCCCTGATGAACGAGTGTTTGTGATGACATCAGCGAGAGGTAAACACACAGCCCTTAGCTGCCCCTGTTATTGGTAGGAAGGGAGGGAGGAAGAGATGGGGGCTGCTGGATTATTGGATGCAGGCAGGCGCATTACTTCGCTTGTGTTGAAGATTTATTGCAGTGTGAAGAGGAGAAAGAAAAAAAAAAAGACACGATAAACTGACTTTGTGTTGTTATCGCTTTTTGCTACAAAGCAGGATTGGAAAGCAGGGGATTGGGCGCGGACACACACACACACACACATGCATAAATACTCATATCCCTTACATGGTAATACCAGTTGTGTCTCAAACACACTGTAATTCAAGTTCCAACAGACTTCCCCTACGCTGCTGCAGAGCTTACTGGCTGCTAGAGAAGGGATCTGTGTCTCTGCCAGGGGGGTAATTTATTTTGACAGTGTCTCTTATGATGGCAAAGAGTGCAGGGTGGAGGTAATCACCCTCGCTTGCTGTCAATAAGTGATTTTAATTAGCGCAGCTCATTAGGCTGCCTCAGCAACATGCCCTGCTGACTTTGTGGTGTGGTGGGGCTTGCTTTGTTTTTTCCACTACCTCTGTTCTCTGCCGTGGACCCTGTTTATCTCTTGTACGCTTGCCTACATTTTGATTTCAGTTCTCTCTGGTAAATTGAAAGCAAAAGGAACATGAATGGAATTAACCATCAACACATCCTATGCTGTGCCATTATATTTGGTTGCTTACTTTTGTTGCACTTAAGGGTAGCCATTTTGTGTGTCTGTTGTGTGTATCCATTTCCTCACTTGTTGAGTGAATGAGGGAAACTGAGAAAGTGCATCATCAAGAAGAATCGTGTCCGTTTCCTGGATGCAGAAGGAAGGTGAAAGGAGGAGCAGAGGGAGGGAGAAAGAGAGCTTGTGCAAATGAATAATTTATACAGGATTCCTGGAATTGTTTGCCAAGGTGATGATGGCCGACCTGTCTCTAAGCCAAAACAAACTGACTACGAGAACACACACGCTCTCTCTCAAGGGAGCTCGGCGAGGTTATTGGAGGCTGTGAGACATGCTTTATTTTGATAGGCAGGCTAGAAGGGCTGGTGGAACAGTGTTACACAATTAGTGCCTGGGTGTGCGTGTGCACTCAACCAGCTGATGATGGGGTTTTGTGTATGTCTGTACATATAAACTGCATAATTCAAAAAGGAAATCTAAAAAAAAATTGTCTACATGCTGATTTGAATTCCTACAAAATCAGGTGTAATCTGTTGGAAAACAGCCCATTTCCATGTGCTCCCCTGCAGAAAAGGATGTCACTTCAGTTTTGTGTGTATGAGCTCAAAATAGAATGACATGCACATGCAAAATATCCTTCATGCATTTGTAATGAACAAGATACCTCTAAGTGCCTCTTTCTTCCTCTGCTCTGGCTGAGAAGATAATTCCCAAACAGCCATCTCTGCCCCCCCCCCCCCCCAATCATATGCCACTTGGTTTCCTCGCCAATTGAATCCTCGTCAGAGACTCTGCTCTCCACTTGGGGGCTAATGCCTGGAGCGACAAACAGCCGAATGGCTTTCAACGCACCATTGACAGAGGGATGCAATGGAGAGAGAGCCTCTCCAAGCTCTGCTGCTACTAGACAACCCTGAGTACCTGTAATTGTGGAGCTGCAGTGAAAAGCTTCTGCCGGCTCAAAGGCTTCTGTTTTCAGTGGCTTTAAGTGACAATAAACTCTTTCCAGTGCCTGTCCCTGCCACTAAAAGCACTGTGGAAAATAGTGCCTCCAAAGTAAAGTGGGAGTAATTTAAGAGTGCTGCGAGTCACTGGATGTGATGTGTTACCAGTATTTTTACTCTTCAAAATGGCTGTGAAAAAGTTGTGTAAATAAGTCATGTGCCCATTTGCCCTCCCTAACAAGCGTGAACTCTGTCTGAACAGAGTGGAGTGACTAAATTTGAAAAGGATGGACAAGATGTGGCTGATAAAGGCAACAATTCAGTTGAAGGCTTTTACAGTGGTGTTTCTCAGGTTAACGTGTGAGTCATGTTTGCCCTCACATTCTCTTAAATTGTAGCTGAGTTATAACGGCGAAATGTACGGCATCAACACAGCAATAAATGGGTAGAAAAATGGTGCAAAGGAAGTCTGTTTCATTGTTTTATTTCCTGGCTCCAAAGTAATATTTTAACTCTGGGGTGAATTTCAGAGTATGCCAAGGGTTCAGGAACATTTAACCTTTAAAAAAACTACTCTGCATGATCTCAGCTCCCAAAGCACCTGGTGCTTCAGTTCGCCTTTCAGAAAGAACTGCTGAGAGAAACGTGTGTTTTTAGCACAGCGTACCAAACAATTCAACACAAAAGGCAGAGTGCACCTGAATACCATGAATGTTTTGGCTTCAAATGGTGGCTCTGGAGTGGTGATTTGCTAAGAACAAATGGATGCCTTTCTTTGTGAATCGGTTTGTGGTGAGGGTTTGTAATGTTGCTGCTCTAATAGCTAAGTGTATCAGCATACCGCTGTTTCCTACAAGCCCCATGTTGTTCCCCTTGCAGCCATTTCCAGAGAAGTGGTGTGATACTGAAACACTCTAATCCTACTGTGTGTCATTGTATCCAGCCCCCGCTAATGATGATGGTTTATGAGTCTCCATAGAGCTTCTCTTTCTTTCTCCTCTCCCCTCCAGTGCAGCCCACTCCCCACCTCCCCACTCCCAGTTATCCCTCATTAATTTCCCGTGCCGATCAGATCGACAGGCCGAAAATTCAATTTAATGACCTGCCTCTTTGCTGCGCCTAATATGATTTTACAGGCTGTTCTGGTCAGGGCCCCAGCCCAATTTACATAACGATCAGCCGTGCCAGATAGCGTTGCCCCAGCAACTGAAGAGGGGGGAAGATGAGAGAGGAAGGAGGGAGGCAAAAGAGGAGAGTAGTGGAGATTAGCAGGGAGGGGTGTGAAGAAGCATTTGGAGGAGGAGGGAGGAGGAAGAGAAGGGGGAGGCTGGGTGGTGAGAGAAAGCACAGTGCGTCTAAGGTCAGACTGGGGGTTGTGAGATAATTCCTGACAGGCCAGCAAAGGTCTGTCTTCCTCCTCTTCTTTCCTTCTCTTCCTGTCTCCCCCTCCTCCAAAATGAAAAGAGTGACACAGGGTGGTGCAAAGGGCTACTGGCACCTCCTGTCCCCCCTTTTCCATTTTCTTTCTCCTTCCTCCCCCTTTCACAGTCAAATAAGGTTAAGGGAGAAAATGAGTGGAATGCAGCAGCGTATAAAATGGCGGGAAGGACCTCTTCACCCCCCCTACACCTGCTGGGCCTCCACCCCTAATCTCTCAGAATCAATTAGTTCACCTCCCCCAGTTCAGTCAAACTACATTACCTTAGTGTCAAATCAGAGCGTTTCACTTCACCATTCATCAACCCCCCCCCTCCACACACACACTCACTCAGTCCCTTCTCTTTTATTCTGCACACTACTTTTGTGTTCCTCCTCTTTCCACGGAAAGGACAGATTTTAAAATAGGAAATGGGTCTGGGCAAAATGTCTTGGGACATTCAAGTGCGGTAGGCGAGCAGCGCAGCATATCCATTTGTCCAAATGCAGCGTTGAAAAGTGCTCTATGTCTGTCGAGCCCTGCGGTATCATCTTACAGTCCCAGCTAATATTGCGCGGTCGATACCAAAGATGCCTCTGATAGATAGGGCCAGAGAGTTAACCTGTCTGCTTCAGCATGCCCCCCTCCTCTCTCTGGGCTGTAATTATGAAGTATGGACCTCATTATGGTCTCCCCAGCCAGATGGTATTAGCATATTTCAGCCTCCTAATGAAATAAGGCCTCAGTCTAATGGAGGCAGGAGAGAGGGGAAAGTAAATTTGTTGTAAGGCGGTCGCAATTTAGTTAAAAAATACACAATCTATCCAGATGGATGCTGCAAACATTTGTGCGTGTTCACAAATGCACACCCTTTTGTTTTACAGGTAGTTTAACTGCTTGATTATAATGTTGCCTTAATGTTTATTCTCTCTCTCTTCAACAGACTGAGATTGCCAAACGTCTCAATGCAATTCTGGCTCAGATCATGCCGTTCTTGTCACAAGAGGTGAGTGTCATCCCAGCTAGCAGCATTTTACGAATGAGATTACTTTCATTCACTCCGTTCAGTTTCTGTACAGGAAAGTGTGAGGCTGGTTGTTGTGTAGAGACCCATTCAATGGGATGCATAGGATCCACAAGGTGTCTCACAGAGTACCAAACAGGCATTCATTGCACAATAGGAACACAGATTTTAAGCAGTTGTCTTAATGATGAAAAGGTTACTGAAGTGACAGTTTTATCAGTACAACTGAATGATGTACTTTAATCACCAAATAAGTAGACAATTTTAATCACTTGCCATCACTAAGTGTTGCTCCTTCTACATGCATGGTTTTTCAACAAATACAAAAACATAAATTACTGTTCTACAGAACCTACAGTTCTTTTTTTGGCCAACAAAGGAGATCACACAAAACATGCAAGGAACTTAAAACATATGTCTTTAGTAGAAAAGTGAGTAGGAAAGTTTACAGGAACATTTACAACATCACTAGTTCTTATATTGTATTTACTACAATATTCCTTATTATGTACAGTTATGCTGATAATGCAGATATAGTCTTTTTATGGCATTGATGTGTTACTGACTTAGAGTAGGATTAAATTATGTTTTTGCGCTATGGAGCATATTTTCCCCCTCAGCTAAAGTTTGTAGAGTTGTGTAGGTGAACCACAAGTACAGGCCAGGATATGTGATTCTTTTGAAATGAATTCTCTTCCATCAGGAATCTCATCTTTGTGTTTGTGTGTCCTGCAGCATCAACAGCAGGTGGCTCAGGCTGTTGAGCGAGCCAAGCAGGTGACGATGACTGAGCTAAATGCTATCATCGGGGTACGTGGACTTCCCAATCTGCCTCTCACTGTGTGTATACCCCCTTTTATTCCTTCATTTGACCTGAGGCCAGGGGCAAAACTGCATGCATAAAGGAGGACTGGCACTCCAATACAAATATATAGGCTATTTAAGCATGCTACGTTATGCTTACAGGTTAATTTCATCTTTAGTGTTGCATGTCAAGGATAACCTGGGAAAGGGCAATAGATTCAGGAGTAAAATAGGGGTGAAATGGGAATAAGATTAGCTTAGTGTGTTAATCTGCAACGGTTTTCTTCTGTCTGTGGCATGTGAATGTTCAGACTGAATACAAACTAGCAATGCTATGTCCTCTTCACTCGTGCAGACTTGCGCCTGTCCTCCATTATGTTTTTATTTGAGTTTGCAATGTGCTGTCAAGATGTTGTTCACTGCTGTAATTTCTCTGATTGTTGGTTAACCATGACCTGTCAGTACGCAGCGTGCAGTTCCTAACAGCAGACAGTCAAAGAGCATCTGATATCTAGTAGCACAGTCCAGACTGAGATCAGATTATGGTGTTTCTCAGATTTCACTTTGGCTGCTCTTTAATTAGATAAAAGGTTCCAGCCAACAGGCTTACCCCTACCTCTGACCCAATAGCACGAGGAATTAGAGCACTCAGGTTGGGGCAAGCAATAGCGATTGCAGCAGAGATTACAGCGGTATGGACGTAGCAGATCCTGAACATTTGTAAGGTGTAGTAGATAAAAGATTTAGGCTGCATTCAAGCAATGTTGGTTGTTGTTGTTTGTCAGAAAATAGCACAAAAGGCCCATCACAAGTCTAGTGTGCCGTTGATGTCACTTCTCTTCCGGAACACGCTGGACTGAGTGGCAAAACATCTGTTACCATGGCTGCGTTTAGAAAACCCGGGAGTAAACAAGTGATTATTTGCTCAAATTAAAGGCCGTCGGACTCGACAGTGATCCTAACTGCTTGCCAAAGAACCATTTTAGATGTGTTTTTTGTGTTTTAGCCGATTCAAACTAACGCTCAGTGAGCGTTCTGTGACATCATGCGCATACCCTCTATTGTGTCCAACAGTCCAATAGTTCAGTTTCCTAGCATAAGACAAATAAATGCTGTAGGTCCTCACATCCGAGAAGCTGGAAATCATCATTTTTTCATTCATCATTTACAATTGATTGATTATCAAAATAGTTAATAACCAGTTAAATTACTGTCCATCTATTAATAAATAATGTTTTTGTTACGTATTTGTACAACTTTGTCAACAAGTGAAACCACATTCAGAAATATAGTAGCTCCTTTTTAATTGGTCAGCAGTGTTAATATTAGATTTTGAGTGTAACTTCCAGTGATGCTGGCTTTGCAACAATATTGTCAAATATAATATACTGTATACAATATCTCCAGCTGTTTGAACAACATGACGGTGTACGCTGCATTATATCCGCTCCGGTGTGAATGTATTTCTCAGTAGGTTTTTAGGGTTTAGGACAACTCTTAGCTTATAACTTGCTGGCTTTTTTAATACCCTGATTGTATTAAATGTACATTTTCTCATGTTTGACTCAATTGAGTGCTGCATCTGCAGCAATCCTAACTTTAATAGAGGAAATGATTGCACTTGAGAAATCAGTAATTGACCTTTTAATTGTAGACACACACACACACAATCCACTCTGGCCAAATATACTTTTTAGTGATTTGGTCTTTCATCTGGTTTTATTTAACTGCTATAAGCCTAGCTCTGTTTTAATAGCCAGCTTGGACCCAGATGGATAACTGACCCTTTTGATTAGCCCTGTGGTGCAGAGGTTAGTCAGCGGTTAGCTAGCCCCAGTGGTAGGGGGTCAAGTCTAATGAAAGGCAGATATCGAAATTCGATTAAGGTAAATGAGCCAGGAGCACAACCCCCAGTTTTAAAGATAATTACTTCCTACCCCCCCCCCCCCCCCCCCACCCCCCCACCCCCCACACACACAGCTCAGTGAGACTGTCCACAACAAGAGTTCAATAAGGGCACACGGCTACACGCACACACATACACAGGAAAATGACTAATTATTGGGACGAAGACATGGCAGGTGATCAATCTTCATGTCCCCTCAGTGTGAGTGAGGCTGTGCTGCTGTGGCGTCTCGTCGTTGAAGTCTGAGATTTTCAGAGAGCATCAGGCTCTGGCAGCATCCTACAGCAGTTAAATCAGAAAACAGATTTGACACTATAACACTCGAAAGATATTTGCCCTGCGGGGACCACCTGGAGTGTCGTTATGTGAAGCAGTATATACAGTATTTTAAAGTCCCCCAAACACCCAACTGCTTCACCCTCCTCGTCGGAAACAAACTATTGCTATTTTTTTTACAAGGGTGGAGTGATTAGTCGATTACTCGATTAGACGATAAACAGAAAATGAGTCTGTTTTCTTCACAACTTGACTTGATAAATAGTTGACTAATTGGAAATTCCGAATGAATTTTTTCTTCTGTCGCAGCCCTTATTTTCTACATTTATTTTAAATAATATATACCTTACAGATGTTTGAAATATATCAGCATTTCTATTAAACTCAATCTGGAGTCCCCACCCAATACAAAAGTAACTGAAACTGGCTCCAGGAAAAAGGGTCGGAGTTGACAAACTCTAGTAGTTAATATCATGATGCTATCACACACACTGTTTTCACAATATTAAACTTAGTAAACACGAGTTAACTATAAGAGTTTGTTGAACTGTGACGAAGGGACTGGAAAGCCAAGACAAAATGCAAATTCGTCTCCCCCGTCATACACTGTGTTTTGCATACGTTTTGGCCTGAGGTGACATGATTGAGTCTGATTTGACAAGTGTCAGAGGTGCTGTCTCATTTCCATGTTCCTGCCCTTATTTCCATGATTTCATCACAGGACAAGATTGTACTTAGATAATGGTTAACGAGTCAGTTACAGGTGGTGCGCTGCTTATCATCAACCCTTATGTAAATTCTAATCTGTGGAACACGCAGCGTGAATTTTTACACTGCCTGGTTTGTTTGTGATGTTACTTGCTAACAGCGAAAAGAAGAATTTGCATGTTTTAGTTAAGTGTCCATATTTACTTTTTGCCAAAGATCATATTTCCATCTGGTTTGAGTGTGTAGGGCTTTTTATGGAGTAACAGTGTCCACAGTGACACATGTTTTGACTTATCAGCATCTATACATTTGCTGCTTGTTAATATCCAAGGTTTTTGTCAATGTTCTCAGGATGATGGTACATGAATGGTTCATGGTTTGATCTTAGACGACCATTTAATTTATAAAAATCTATATTTAGCCTGCGATCACCAGCTTTATTAGGCACTAGATGATGAATCAAGCTTATTGTTAGAGTTGAATTAATGACTGATTAATCAAACGGTACAATTAATTTGCAACAATTTTGGTAACTTAACTTTTAATACATCACCTGTCTGATAAATATAAAAGTTCAAAAATCAATCCCATTTTTCAGTCAATCCAAAAAATAACCTGTAGAGAAATTAATAATGAAAACAATCAGTAGTTGCAGCCGCTAGTTTTCATTGTCCTCTTCAGTTTTCTTGCTTGTTGCTTTGTATCATTTCTGGCTGAATCTCTCCTCTTCCTCTCTCCTTTGACACAGCAGCAGCAGCCGCCTCATAGTGTCTACCCAGCATTCATGGTCAGTGTTCAGGGAAGTTACCAAACAGAGAAACAATCTGTTTTATTTTACGAGTGTTTTGAACTGATCTAACATGTGTCTTTTGTGAAGGGAGATGTTGTGTTTTCGATACAAAGCACAACACGGACGTGTTTGGATTTTTTTGTCTGCCTTCACTCAGGTGTCACAGATTTGACAGCACTTTGTTTCTAACCTCAAAAACGGTTCTGAAATCAATCAGGTCTGTTTGTAGCGCAGGGTGTAGTCTGCTACAACTAAAGATATGATGAGCCACAGATGCTGTTGTAAAGCACAGGATAAGTAGGTAATGTGGCGATCATTGCCAGACTTATTAAGACAGTGTGCCAGCTGGTTTGTGCTGGTGCTGTTGATGCTTGTTCCACCTGACAGTACTGTTCTGCAGGGAGCCAGCTTCGCCTAGTTAACTTTAATTGCCTGTTTCCTGTGGAAGTTGCCTGAGCTGCGGCGGCATTTACACATAATGAAAAAAGATAAGTGTGAAAGGAAGCCAACTCTTTATCCATGAATATTGAATTGGAAGCAATTTATTTTCTGAATTTTCCCCCTCTTTTTCTCTCTCTCTCTCCCTCCCTCTTCTCTCCTAGCTCCTCTCCTCAGCCATAGCTTGTTAATGAGGCTTCTTGATAATGATCCCAGCACGCTTTTCCTCATTAGGCACACTCAATAGGGACGTCCCTGCCTCAATCCCTCTCTCTTTCATTCTCTTGTTATTTTCTGATTCTGCCTCTCCCTCCTTTTCTTGTTCTGGCTGCCCCCTTTCTCTCTCGCTTTATCTCTCTCTCTCCTCTTGCTCGCTTTTCCTTTTTCACAACAAATAGGCTGCTCGGCACACCAGCACAATATCGATTAACAATGCCGCCCCTCAGCTGCTTATATCCATTGTACTATTTCAGGTCCAGCTTGACATAATGAGCTGACTGAATAATGGCCAGCTGCTAAATAAACCTTTAAATGTGGTAAGCCAGTAGATATAACCTCGTCTAGTTCATGTAATGAATGTATGGATGAGGTTATTGAAGTTCTATCTAGCAAGCAGAATAGCAATGATGTTTTTTTTTCTTTTTTGGAGAGGCAGTTGATGGATGTGCTAAGTGTTATTTAACCTTGTTTTAAAGCACTTGCTTCCCTCTTGCCTGAGTGGCTATTTAACTCCTGTCTATCTACTCGCTCCTCTCCGGCTGCCTCTCACACAGACGTCCATGGCCTCTTGGGAGTGTGTGTGTGTGTGTTCTCCACTGTGTCTGTGCTTAACAGCATTATGCTGGAGGAGTGGGCATGCTTGCTTGGTTTTCTAGAGTGTTGAAAGGTTTTGAGGTTTTGAAGTGTAGACCTATTGATTTTTAACTGTCCCAGCTATGATTGAAGCACAGTGGTTCGGGAGGGAGCAAAAACGCTCTGTATCATTTCTGACGATCTGATGTGAGGAGTACCAGATCTGTAGTGGAAACCTGGAGGCAGTCTTTTCAGAGGCACAGCGTTGCGGCTCATTCATGTGCAAACCTTTGCCCAGAGCTGATTCAGCCAAGTTTGTGCTGAAACTATTAGTCATCTGACAGAAAATGAATCGACAGCAACTTTGAAAATCAGTCATTTAAACGTCAAACATTCTCTGGTTCCAGCTTGTCAAATGTAATGATTTTCTGCTTTTCTTTGTTTTATATAATTGTAAATTGAATATATTTGCATTTTAGCCTGTTGGTCGAACAAAACCAGCAAGCTATGAACAGAAACAGTTTTTTCCCCCTCAGATAGTGAATGAGCTGGATCAGCATGTTGGCAGTCACTATTAGGCTGCTATTATGCATAAACGGCTTGGCCATGTCCAACTAAATGTTGTCAAAACCAGCCTCTAATGCATAAGTAGAGTGTGGTCATTCATGGATTCACTTCCCAGCCGACCCACTTGTCCTCTGTCTTGTCTCCTGTCTCCCTACGTTTGTTTATAGCAGCAGCAGCTTCAGGCTCAGCACCTCTCTCATGCGGCCCATGGCCCCCCAGTCCAGCTGCCTCCACACCCCTCAGGCCTGCAGCCGCCTGGCATCCCCCCTGTGACGGGCGCTGGCTCCGGCCTCCTGGCTCTGGGTGCTCTTGGCAGCCAGGCCCACCTGCCTGTAAAGGATGAGAAGAACCACCATGACCTGGAGCATAGAGGTGAGGAGCACAGCCTGCCACATACAGCCTGCAGCGCTGTAGTAGTGAAGGGTGATTGTACCTGCCAACAGCTGGTTTTACCAGTCAGATACATTAGTCATTGAAACATGTCGCCGTATGTGTTTAAATGCAGGTGTTTCTGTACAGAAGGACTGTGTAGGGAAAATGTATACAGATTTTAGTGTTATTACTTTGGCCTCACTCATGATATATTTTGACATGAAAATAGTATCCTAACATTAGGAAATGGGAAAGAACAAATTTGAACACTAACACTTGTAGAGGATAAACATAAAAAGTGTGGAAACTGTTCAGTCTAGATATTTGTGACGAATGAATCCTTTATCAGAAATGCAGGAGGAAATGTTGGTCTAATAATAACAAATTAATAATTGAATTAACTGAATAATATTATTGTTGTGTGACTGGAGTGATGCATCGTGGTGACACCCATACTAATTTGTGTTTTGCTTTTCTCTCCTGGACCCTCATCTTTTCACTCGCCTCTGGCCATTCCTCTGAAAGAACGCGAGTCGAGCACGGTACGTTGCCTCCCGTCTCCTCCATCTCCTGTGTGTGTCTTGACTTTGCCGGTCTCTGGCTCACGGTGTTTGGTGATTAGGTGTACTTTACATAGACTTAAGCCCACTGTTCACTAGAAATTCATGCTCTCTGTGTAAGAACACACACATTTTTGTACTCTGGGGGGGTTGACTGAAATCAAATAATGAAGTCTGGCCAAATAAGCCATTGCCATCCAATCCAGGTGGAAAATGACTCCAATCACTGAGCGAGGATTAGCAGTCAGCTTACCTCCTTTAATTTCAGCCAAATTAAAAGCGACTTTGACTCTCCATCTCTTCTTCCCTCACCTCTTTAGAGGATTCACTGTTGCATGTGTCCAATGCCAGCCTCCTTTTAATCCTCTTTTCTTTTGCATATACCTTTATTTTCTGCTGTCTTTTCTTCTTGTCTAACTTATTTACTCCTGTCAACCACTTCTTCTCTCCCCTTCTGTCTTAAGCTGTCTATGTATTCCTTCTCATGTTAAAGTCCTTGTTTGTTGGACTGACTTAAAGCTCAGTTAGCTGGAGCGTAACGGTCTGTTGGATCTGCTCGGCCAGATTGAGTTCCCATTGACTGACCATCCTGAATGAGCCCACTCATGTCTGAAGGGAACCCAAACTCGTCCCCCATCTCGTTTAGTGACGAGCGGCTGCCAATCCTACCTTACCTGATCCCCCAGCCAGCATCCCCTCCCTCTCCTTTCCAGTGTGCCCGCGCGCGCACACAGACACAGTCTTCCTGTCCTGTTGTCTCAGGTCATCTGATACCAGAGTTGGAGGCAAGTGCAGGGTTATTGAGTCTAAGCAATCCTTCAAGGTCACAGGCTCAGATACACAGACACGCTGTAATGCTCTAGGAGATCAGAGAGTCAGACAACATCTTCACACCATGCCAGATTAAAACTGTTAGTGGCTTTCTTTTTCACAACTGTAGCTAAACAAATGTAATATGAAAATGGCAGAAAGCTGCTGGGTTGGCTGAGGGTGGTTAATGTGTTTGTGTGTGCCATTAACTGCCCAACCTGTGTTTTCTTTTTTAGCTGTCACTCTCCACTTTCCTCATTTTCTGGCTTTTATGTTTCTTTGCTGCTCTTTGTTCTCTTATCATCATTAGCAGCCAAGAAGTCAGACATCTTTCCTTCTCCCTTTTCACCATATCTTTCTGATGAAGACAGGGATTTGTTGAGCTGCCCGACAGTGTGGGCTAGCCTCAGGGTTTGCTCACCTCCCTCCCTCCCTCCCTGCCTGTTGGCCTGTTTGGCAGTGCCACCCCACCACACTAATGCCTAGACTACAAAAGCCACGTTTGCAGCTTCTGAGAGAGTGCCAGCCTGTCCGGGCATTCCCACTAGTGGGGAGAACTCATTGCCACACTGCTACGCTCTCATTGCTTGCCAAGTTCCTTTCCTGTTTTGCTCTCTTGTCTTTCTTCCTCTTTTTTTCCTTATTTTCTCACTCTGCCTTTTTCATGGCTCTTTTCTATGCTGGCAACACCCTCTTTGTCTCTCCACATTGCACTCTTGTCCAGGTTCCCTCAATGGCCTCTTTCTTTCCTTCCTTTTCTTTATTCTGGTTGATTTTCATGATCTTCACTGTCATTTTCTGCTGCTTTGTCACTGACCTGTGACAGCGTACAAACAGTTATACAGTGAGAGATCCTGGTTACTTTTGTTTTTATTTGCATATACTTGCATGTCACAGACAGAAAAAGTGCAGCCAGGAATACGGTCTGTTTGGTTTAAATTGTTAATGTTGGGGTCAAGAGGATTAGAAGTGTATGTATGTTTTTTGTATATACACTACTCAAAAAAATAAAGGGAACACTAAAATAACACATCCTAGATCTGAATGAATGAAATAATTTCATTAAATACTCCTTTCTTTATATAGTTGAATGTGCTGACAACAAAATCACACAAAAATGATGAATGGAACGAGGCTCAGTAGTGTGTGTGGCCTCCATGTGCCTGTATACCTCCCTAAAACGCCTGGGCATGCTCCTGATGAGGTGGCGGATGGTCTCCTGAGGGATCTCCTCCCAGACCTGGACTAAAGCATCCGCCAACTCCTGGACAGTCTGTGGTGCAACGTGCGTTGGTGGATGGAGCGAGACATGATGTCCCAGATGTGCTCAATTGGATTCAGGTCTGGGGAACAGGCGGGCCAGTCCATAGCATCACTGCCTTCCTCTTGCAGGAACTGCTGACACACTCCAGCCACATGAGGTCTAGCATTGTCTTGCATTAGGAGGAACCCAGGGCCAACCGCACCAGCATATGGTCTCACAAGGGGTCTGAGGATCTCATCTCGGTACCTAATGGCAGTCAGGCTAACTCTGGCGAGCATGGGCGGCCTCCCCAAAGAAATGCCACCCCACACCATTACTCACCCACCGCCAAACCGGTCATGCTGGAGGATGTTGCAGGCAGCAGAACGTTCTCCACGGCGTCTCCAGACTCTGTCACGTCTGTCACATGTGCTCAGTGTGAACCTGCTTTCATCTGTGAAGAACACAGGGCGCCAGTGGCGAATTTGCCAATCTTGATGTTCTCTGGCAAATGCCAAACGTCCTGCACGGTGTTGGGCTGTAAGCACAACCCCCACCTGTGGACGTCGGGCGCTCAGACCACCCTCATGGAGTCTGTTTCTGATCGTTTGAGCAGACACATGCACATTTGTGGCCTGCCGGAGGTCATATTGCAGGGCTCTGGCAGTGCTTCTCCTTGCACAAAGGCGGAGGTAGCGGTCCTGCTGCTGGGTTGTTGCCCTCCTACGGCCTCCTCCACGTCTCCTGATGTACTGGCCTGTCTCCTGGCAGCGCCTCCATGCTCTGGACACTACGCTGACAGACACAGCAAACCTTCTTGCCACAGCTCGCATTGATGTGCCATCCTGGATGAGCTGCACCACCTGAGCCACTTGTGTGGGTTGTAGACTCCGTCTCATGCTACCACTAGAGTGAAAGCACCAGCATTCAAAAGTGACTAAAACATCAGCCAGGAAGCATAGCACTGAGAAGTGGTCTGTGGTCACCACCTGCAGAACCACTACTTTATTGGGGGTGTCTTGCTAATTGCCTATAATTTCCACCTGTTGTCTATTCCATTTGCACAACAGCGCATAAAATTGATTGTCAGTCAGTGTTGCTTCCTAAGTGGACAGTTTGATTTCACAGGAGTGTGATTGACTTGGAGTTACATTGTGTTGTTTATATGTTCCCTTTATTTTTTTTAAGAAGTGTATATAAACACTAACACACACACCTCACAAAATCTCTCCAACTCTACTCAATCAGCCCTACACATCACCCAGCTTGCGAGTTAATGCTTTTGTCTTCCAGAGGCGTTTTTGTGGGTTTGCTCAGCTGCCTCGTCTGTTTCCTCCTTGCTCCACTGCCTTGGCAGCAGCAGGCTAAGCTGCCCCAGAAACCACCTCTGCACCTTCTATCCCAAATCAGTCCAGTTCAGTCCAGGAGCATTGTGTACTTAGCTTTACAGTCAATATTGTCACTGCTCTGACACAGGAAAAGGCACCACAGCCATGCCTGGACTTAAACACCCCATTTGGTAGTTTCTGGCTTTTCTGGCGTCTGAGGTTTTGTCACTTGATGCATTAAAGCCCTAAAACATTCACTTTACTCAAGGTCATACGCTGTCACAACAGTGCTTACAGACAGTTTGGTACTCCATATCAAGATGGAGCAAGATTACAATATTGGCTGAGCTCAATACCTCACATAAAACTTTCTGAAGCTGCAATTCAGTATGATGCAACACATGGGAGTTAAAGCATATCCTACATGGTTATTGACAGTTTGTTTAGGATAAGAACTAAAAGTAAAGCACACTCAGAGGGAACTGGAGACTGATGTCATCTGGCTGCATGTTGTTGTTGTTGGCAGAATAACTCAGTGTCGCCATCAGACAGCCTGCGGGCAGCGAGTGAGAAGCACCGCAGCTCCTCAGATTACGGTCTCGACTCCAAGAAACGCAAAGTGGATGACAAAGACAGCATGAGCAGATATGTGAGTGTTTGTGTTTGTTTCTTTGTTTGTGGTGTTTGCGTTATTGAGTTTAGTAGCTTTCCTGCTGTAGCTGTTGGTGGGGTCCTGAGCCTGTTTGCGCTTGTGTTTGAACTTTGATTAACTCAGTGTTAAATATATTAGGCCACTATGAAAAATGTGTTAAACCAAAATATGGTAGGAAGACAAATTAACAACCATTTTATTGCCCATTTTTTCATTATATAACCACCGCAGTTTTAGTAATGCTTTATTTTATAGGTCTGTAAATTCCTAATAATTTTTTAGAAAGTGACCTGGAAAGGAAAATGTAATTTGGCTTTAATTGCAGGTAAAATACTGTGGTCAATTGGTGCACTTCCAATTAATTAATTCCAATTAAATTCTAAGCTGGTGTATCCCTGACTCTTTTAGTCAGTGCACACGCCAGCTGAACATGCAAACATTTGCAGTTTGTCTACAGATTCTTCACAATTCAATATGAAGAATAAAGTTTCTATAATAATAAACATTTACTTGGGTTCAAATGGATCAGTTCTTTCCTCTGAATCAACTGCTGACCAAAACATAAATCTGTCTCTCATTTCGATCTACTCGTAAGATAATGTAATTGGACTGTACTGGCTTATGCTCACTGTACTTTTACCACTGTTAGTGATCTCCCAGTAAGCTGAGCCTGTCACGCCTTTATTTCAGGACAGTGACGGAGACAAAAGCGACGACTTGGTGGTGGATGTTTCCAATGAGGTAAGACTGCGTTTGAACTTAGCTGCTCAGCCACATTCCACAATGTCAACTCCGCGTATAAACTAAACACAGCTCCCTTTTGTCGTCTATCGAAGACTCAACACCTTTCACAGCGTTGCCAAAAAGTCTGTCATAATATTGGTTGTGTGTGCTTACTTGCTGTATTTCTTTTGCCATTCATGCAGAAAGTAAGACAAAGAAAACAAAGAGAAAAGGGAGTGACAGGTGAATGAAAAGTGTGTGTATGTGTGTGAGGGAGAGTACGAGCACGCACAAGTATATTTATCTGTGTTTGCACATGAGGCCCCAGTTTGTTTGACCTACATGTACATGCCAGTGGCTTTCCTCCGGTCTGTTTGCTCAGTCTCGCTCTCTGTCTGTCTCGTTTAACTCTGTAGGATCCGGCTACCCCTCGAGTCAGCCCCGCTCACTCTCCTCCAGAAAACGGCCTGGATAAATCTCGAGTCCTGAAGAAGGATGCTGCCCCGAACAGCCCCGCCTCTGTCGCCTCGTCGGGCAGCACGCCGTCCTCCAAAGCAAAGGACCACGCCCATGTGAGTGTGAGGGACACACTGAAAGATGAAATAAGGAGGTTACAGTTGAGGGGGTGAGCTGACAGACTAAAGGGCATTTGTCAAGTGAAGTGTCTGTCTGTGTGAAGGACTAATATGATGGAGGTTTAGCAGTTGGCTGCTATGAGGAGCTTGAAGGGGCAGAGGGTGGGTGCACTCTCAGGAAATCAAACCCTGTGGCTCACTCCTCTCAATCTCCTTTATAGCTTACCCAGTAAATGGTCATTTCTTCCTCGGCCTGAGGCTGTAAATAACCCAGAGACACAGCAGAGAGAGAACTGCTGTCTCCCTCTCTTCTTGCTTCCTCGCATCTTCTCCCTCTCCGTCCCCCACTCTAATACTGAAGTTCTCGATAACCAGGGTAAGACAATCCTCATGTAAGGAGTATGACCGATTTACAGCCCACATCGCTACCCTCCACCTCCCATGACACCCGGCTTCTCGCGGTCCTTATTAGTGTGTGTCACCAAGCTAAACCCCCCACTCCTCGATCAGCATAGGAAGAAAGATTATGAGAGAAGTGTTTGGGCCACCATCTTGCTTGTCTAGCCACTCTTAACAAGCTTGGCTTCTGAGTGAAGTTTTATGCCTGTACCCTCACCGCACGCCCCACGACTGTAAGGAAGTGTCAGTGTTAGATTGGGGGGGGTTAAACTCTGGTGTGGATGCTGTATCATTTTCGTGTGTGTGACAGAGTGAGAGTAAATGAACTTAAAACTTTCAGTGAGAGGATACAAAAGCACCCAGAGGTTAAAGAGCATCTCTGTTTTAGAATGACAAGTCGTCCACACCGAGCCTGAAGTCCAACACACCTACACCAAGAAATGAGGCCCCAACACCAGGAACCAGCACCACTCCAGGACTGCGGCCTCTTACAATGGGCAAACCACCCGGCATGGAGGCTTTAGGTACGTAAACACCTTCACTGTCGCACTCATTCAGAACTGAAGCCATGCATTGACTGACACAAAAAGAAGATATTTTGCCATTTGGTATTTTTGCTTGAAAAATGACTTAAACTTGAATTATGCTTCTCTGAAGAAACACATATGTCTTTGAAAACCTACACTTTAAATGATTAAAGAATGATCAAAACACTACCTAGTTCAAGCTTCGCTGTTGTGAGAATTTGCTCCTTTTCTTCTGCTGTGGTAATAGACTTGAATATCCTTTGGTTTTGAGTCTTGGTTGGACACTAAGTATTTTAAAGCATCAATTACAAGAATTCACCAAGTAAATAATATTGAGATTTAAAGTTCATTCTTGACCTTGGAAACAAAACAATCTCACAAGTCCATTAGTAGCTATTCTGGAGCTTTAGATCGTATCACAAGGAGTTGTCATGTCTGAAGGAAAATTCTTAGTTACAGCCATCGTTTAATGTTTCCAAATGTTAATAATTGTCTGTTGCACAGTTTCTATAAATCAGTCTTTTCTCATCTCTAGCCGCCCCTGCACTGCGTACACCTCTGACCATTGCGGGTTCCTATGCCAGCCCGTTTCCTATGATGGGTCATCATGAGATGAACGGATCCCTGACCAGCCCAGGCATCTATCCCGGTCTCATTTCACCACAGATGAGTGCTGCAGCTGCTGCCGCCTATGGACGCTCACCAATTGTAATTATTCCAGCTTCTATATAGAATTTATGAATCAAAAGCGTGTTTGTCGCACACAACTGAATGAATGCAGCTCTTCACATATGTTCATTCATATATTCCATCTCCATCAGTTTGTCACAACAAGCCCTCACTGGCCTCTGTATGAATTATCCTCCATGGCTGTAGGTTGTTCAAGTCTGTTTGCGAAATGACTTTGAGAAACTTTAAACATTCATCCTGTATTTCCATAACTCATTGGAATATTTCTGCTTGGCTGGCTGCAGCTTGTTGTGTATACTTAATGAGAAAACACAAAGACAGCGTAGCCCTCATACTTTGATGTTAGTTAGTTAGCATTTTAAAGGCTTTTAAAAAAAAAAAAGGGCTGGCCCCCAAAATGCATCTCCATGTTTGAAAATCTCCCAGGCTTTCATTAGCATTAGCAAGTGGGATGTTGTAGCATTGTGTAAAGCTTCTCTGTATGCAATGAAGCTGAATCTGCGTCTTTCAAGGGATTTGCCTGGAAACTATGGAACGAAGAGTTCCTCAGTGTGTTAGCAGATAAAGTGAAGCATAGTTTTAAATTTGAATATTAGCTTAGTCTAATTTATTTTTGCAGGTTATCGGCTTGTTTGTTAAAGATGGTGTATGCAGTTCTTGGAAAGAATGAACAGCTAGCGGACTGTGAGGAGATTCCCTGACAAAAAGATGTGTATTGGATAAGTACTGCATACCCCACCTTTAACTCTTGGCTCTTCTTGCTCTTACAGGCAGGGTTTGACCCTCATCCTCACATGAGAGCTCCAGGCCTGCCAGCCAGCCTCACATCCATTTCTGGAGGAAAGCCGTGAGTTTTGGATTTAGCTATTTTTATTTACAAAAATAGCTGACATCATATATACTACTTAGCTCAAAACTGTCCATCTTTCTCTTCTTCTGTCCACTGCAGAGCTTATTCTTTTCACGTGAGTGCAGATGGTCAGATGCAGCCCGTGCCCTTCCCTCCAGATGCACTGATTGGACCGGGCATCCCGCGCCATGCGCGCCAGATCAACACACTGAGCCACGGGGAGGTGGTGTGTGCTGTCACCATCAGCAACCCCACACGTCACGTCTACACCGGCGGCAAGGGTTGTGTCAAGATCTGGGACATCAGCCAACCAGGCAGCAAGAGCCCAGTGTCCCAACTCGACTGCCTGGTAACTACTTTTTATTGTTTTTTCAGTCACAGTAGAGGAACATGTGAAATATTTGCTCAAGACATTCAGATTTGTGTTATTATATTATGGTTTCAATCATACCTGACTGATAGGAGCTTCTCTGTTCATTTAGCTGAACACTCTTCGACAGCTGCTTCTCTCACCTGCGGGGCCCCTCAAGGCTCTATTCTGGGCCCCATCCTCTTTTCACTGTATATGTTGCCACAGGGTTCCATTTTCCAGAAACATAACATCTCATCATATCACTGTTTTGCTGATGATGTCCAAATTTACTTGCCTAAATCCATAACCAGAGATTCTGTGCAGCCATTGTTAGACTGCTTAAAGGAGGTAAAAACCTGGATAGAGTTAAACTTACTCACTCTGAATGAAAATAAGAGAGCATCACGTGTGGACATTTGGATGTACTGGGTGACCCTCTTGGCACTTTGGGCCCATTAGCCTCCAAAAATCCTCTATTAAAAACCTTGGTGTTAATTTTGACACCTCATTCACTTTTAATAAGCAAATCAGTGCAGTCGTCAAGACCAGCTTCTTCCAGTTAAGACTTCTAGCTAAAATAAAGGCCTTCCTCCCAAAGACCTTGAAAAAGTCATCCATGCTTTTATTACTGCTCAACTGGATTATTGTAATTCATAATACATGGGTCTAAATCAGAAATCTTTAAATCGCCTCCAGTCCAAAACGCAGCTGCTCACCTTTTAACAAAAACAAAAAAGCGTGAACACATAACACCTGTCTTGGCCTCCCTCCACTGGCTACCTGTCCGTTTATAGGATAGATTTTAAGATTTTATTGCTTGTTTTTAAGGCACTAAGTGATTTGGCGCCACCTTATTTGGCTGATCTTCTGCCACCATTCTCAATTAGAACACTGAGGTCAACAAACCAGCTGCTCTTGGATGTCTCGAGATCAAAGCTAAAAAAGAAGGGCGATAAAGCCTTTGCAGTGGGCGCCCCCATTCTATGGAACAGCCTCCCCATGCATATTAAAGCTGCACAGACCCTGCAGACGTTTAAATCGCTGCTTAAGACGCACCTTTTTGCAGTAGATTTGAACCTTCGTTAACCTGGTTTCTGATGTTTTAAAGTGTTTTGTTTCCCTGTGATTTACTTTGGTTGTACTGATTTTTGTATATGTTATGTATTTGACATTGACCCTGTTTAGCACTTTGGTCAACTGTTGTTTTTAAATGTGCTATAGAAATAACACTGACATTATGGTTGATGTTTCAAAATGTTAACGAGGCGTCCAAACAGAACCAGAGACATAATGTACTCATGTTTCATGAGGTCTTTGTAGTAGGTCTTCTTCATTAAGATGAGCATCAAATGTAGCCTGACTGCATATCCCATCGTAGTTTCCCCCCAACAGACAGAGATGTGAACAATTCAGCAAAGTGTTTGACTGCTGTGCTGAAATAATCCTTGGTGAGAAAAAAAGCCTGCTGAGTAATGATGTTCTGATTGGCCAACCCTGTCTGCCATTACCCAGCTCATTACTTCCTCCCAACTGCCTCTCATTTCTCATTTTGATACTGCGGCTTCATGCCGCTCAACTCATATGGCCTCAAACACCCTTAAGGTGCGTCCAGAGTGCAATTGGGTCTTATAAAGCCATCAGGGTGCTGTTTTAATTCGACCAAGAGCTTCCAAGTCCTATTGATCTGTCTTCCTGCTCTCTTGGAGCCTGGCCAACAGCTGCAGCCCCACGCTCTCCCTGCATCTCTTGTTAAAGCTGACATCCACATCTTCACTAAAACGCGAAAGCAGCAAAAACAGCAGCAGTCTAAAAGCTGCACTTGTCAAAGAAAAGCTCCTTTTTAAGTAGAGATGGGTTTGACGTGGACATATGCTACTAATCTCTTTTTGCTCAACAGAACTGTAAATTATTTTATTCTTTAATAACATCAAATGCCGTATTCAGAGATCTTTCACATGTAAGATCCAGTCATCAAGATCGTGACGATACTTGTTTTCTGTTCCAGAACAGGGACAATTACATCCGCTCCTGCAAGCTGTTGCCTGACGGCCGCACCCTCATAGTGGGTGGCGAGGCCAGCACGCTGACCATCTGGGACCTGGCCTCACAGACTCCCCGCATAAAGGCCGAGCTCACTTCCTCTGCTCCAGCCTGCTACGCACTGGCCATAAGCCCCGATGCCAAGGTCTGCTTCTCCTGCTGCTCAGATGGAAACATCGCTGTGTGGGACCTCCATAACCAGACCCTTGTTAGGTCAGTACGTTGACATATTTGTAAAAATACACCCCCTGAGCCAAACTTCAAGTACATAACTTACGACTTAATTCTGTGTGCGTGCTACAGACATGTTTTTAGTACACAGCTTAGTGTGTTTGAACAATAAAATGGTTGGCTATTAACATAAGACACCCTCTTTGTTAGGGTTGGGATTGCTTCCTTCTCTGTTCCTGACTTCATGTTTGGTGTCTTGTGTTGTTCCAGGCAGTTCCAGGGCCACACAGATGGAGCCAGCTGTATCGACATCTCTCACGACGGAACCAAACTGTGGACCGGTGGGCTCGACAACACTGTCCGCTCATGGGATTTGAGGGAGGGGCGGCAGCTCCAGCAACACGACTTTACCTCACAGGTAGAGAGAAGCCTATAAAAGACAAATGTTCCTTTTATCTGATACAAAGTCAGCCAGCATTGCTGACACATTCCCCCCCAATGAATGCATTCAGTGTGTCTTTGTTTTATGTTGAAATACTGTTGACTCTTGTTGCTGATGAGGTCAGATCTAACTGTGTGGTTGTTGCAGATCTTCTCGCTGGGCTACTGTCCCACCGGAGAATGGCTGGCTGTGGGCATGGAGAGCAGCAACGTGGAGGTGCTTCACCATACCAAGCCTGACAAGTACCAGCTGCACCTGCACGAGAGCTGTGTCCTCTCACTCAAGTTCGCCTACTGTGGTAAGTAACGTGCAAAGAAGCTCCTTAATGGGTGTAAACAGACCCACGGGGAATAAACATTCAATAGTGAGGAGGTGGGGATTTACTGGTTTTAATTTTTAGTGGAAAAGAGTTTTGACAGACTGCCGTTCAATTTGGTGTTGATATTTATGGAGGATCTCAGGCTTATGGTTAGCTGCCACTGAGGACATGGAGATCATGTCCATTAGGGGTGGGAATCTCTGGGCACCTTACAATTGAGAGGGCTGCGATGCAATTATAAGACGAGTATCGATGCATCTTGTTGCATAATTTTTTTTCTATACAGGATCTCTGGATAATTACTAAGCATTTAATTTGTGCATTGAAATCCAAAAGAAACTCCTAATTAGCTTAAAAGGACTAGTTAGCATCCCTAATTTACTTAATTAACCTCAGCTCCATGGTCCCTCATTAACAACCAGCTGTCAGACTCTCTGAAAACTGAAAAATAATTATCAGCATGTGCAGTATGTGTACAGGACAGACCTGTTCACCAGTTTAATCTAAGCTTGTACCTGATGTTTTCAACCCTTGACAAGTAGGTATGTTTAAGGTACTACTAATGACATACAGCTGAGCTAATTATTACTTCATTACTAATTTAACCGTTATAACGCTGTACAGTTATCTAGCGCTAACCGCCTTCACTTTTCCAGCAGTTGCGGAAACTACAGACTTTTATTAACGGACACACAGTGACCTACACTGCACATTTACTGCCAGGCTGAAACTAACTACTAATATTTTTCATCGCTAACTTTCACCGTCATGTTCTGCTGCTCTCTCTCTCTTTCGCTCGGCCTCAGAGAGCTGCCAAGCATTGAGTGACACCATGCTTGCACAGTGTGTGAGTTAAAATCATTACTTGCGCATTGATATTAATGATTGTGACATTTAAGTAGGGTGGTTAATCATTCCGCAGCATTGATGTGCTGAATACAGGAGGAACACTGGTCTCTCTGTGTGCATGCCAGACAGTCCGGCCGCTGCACTTCCGCGAGTTCTGCCTTTTGCATTCCGTCAACATTATGTTATCAATTAACAAATAGTCAATTTTTTGACATCTGTGAATGACTCTGTGAGTCAGAATCTTCCACGTCTGCACTGAGATGCATCTAAGAATTCATTTTTTTCTCCCACCCCTAATGTCCGTGGTAATATTTCTCCATCGGAGAAATTTACAATTCAGTTACACCCATATGATATGGGTGGACTCCTAGCTACTGCCCTGCTGTTAAATGTGGTGAACAAGGATTTATCCAGTCCTCTTACTCTTCTCTCGCTAAAATCAATCTTCATACAATCACATCAGGGTTGTCATGTCAGGCACTCTGTTAGAAACCATGTCTGATGGCCAGGTCTCTGCAGTCTAGCTAGACGCTGGCCACAGGTGGGCCGTGTTGCCTAAAATTTTACTTGTTTAATTTTGATCTGCAACATTTTTTTTTTTATCTGAACTAATGAATGTTTTATTAGTGACAATTAGTTTTGAAAATGTCAGATGTCTCTGTACAGTTTAAATTGCTCGTAGCAAAGGCTTGTAGCTGTATTAACAAGGAAGCTGTTGTTTTACAAATAGGCTCATTAGAGAAATTTGTCGTTGCTTTTTAAGTTTAGATCATTCTGCCTGTTGGGCAGACCTGCTGGTTTCAAGTTTAGGGCTCCAATAAATGAGGTTTTACTGTTGCCTCACTTTTTTGTGCCAGAACTGTCAGTATCCATTTCCCCTCACAAGACCCCCCACAGCACAGCCTCATATCTCTCCTCCACAGAACGGGTTAATTCAAATGATGCTCACTGCTTCAGAGCTCTTGCCGTCACTAATTAAATCATTAGCCGACTAGTCAGTTGGGTAATTAATCAGAGGGTGATTTAAATAATTATCAAAGTGGAAATGGTGTGAGTCTCCTTCATTATGTGCATTTTATGATTGTTAATGTAATGGTGTTTTATGGCCATTGATAAGGTTATCACAGAGTCACATGTTTGCTGTTATGGGTTGGTTTACTATAAATTTCTATCTTTAAGCCCGGAAAAAACAACGATGACCAGGTTTGAGAGGACAAACATGATTGTGTGTGCCTCAGCACACATACCTTCAGATTATATTCTCAAGGCGTCTGTTCTGTGTTTGCAGGGAAATGGTTTGTGAGCACAGGGAAGGACAATCTGCTGAATGCATGGAGGACACCTTATGGTGCCAGCATATTCCAGGTAACTGCGATAAACACAATTCTACACAGTTTGCATTGGCTGTGTGGCTTGTAACTGCACTTTGTTCCTTTTAGGATGTTGTCTGTTTACAATCACTTATTTTTAATTGCTGCCTCTTGGTAAGGATTACCTCAAAAATAGATTTGTCAGTGGGACCCAGTCTGCTTAAAGAAAGGTCTTAAATCAAGACAAGGAGGTGATTTCAAAAATAGAAGCACAGTTTTTCCTAAATGTGTTTTGTGAGATGCAGCATTAAAGCTCTAAATGAATTTTAAAATTTTGTTTTTCCCACAACTCAAAAAGTCTAACTAATCAGATTATATCGGTCCTCCAAATTGCATAATCTCAAATAGGGCAGACACTATTAGTTTATTATTAACACTAACTGATAATCGAATTTGAGCAAAAATAGTGGCGGTGGTGGGGGGGTCAAACTTGGTCTAATTTCAGCCTCTCTAATTAAAGAATTTGCGATTTTTAGGCTGTTGGTCAATATCACCATTGACTCTTAAATGTGGAACAAATGCCTATTGTAATTTTTTAACAGTTTGATGATTGATAATTACCTTTACTCAAGTTATTAGGAGATTCAGATTTTGACATGACTAGATTTTTTTATCGGACAGTAACACAAATAATGCCATCACAGTGCAATATACATTTATCAGAACTGTTAACAATAACAAGAATTACAAACTTATTTCCATTGTGGTCCTCGTTGCATTCGCTGAGATGACCCATACAATTGTCTTAGTGTTGTCATAACTTTCTGGTTTGCATTCACTATATGAGCTAATCTGGCTAGTGTAGTCTAATTAACAGACAACACCTGTAAAAGTCTTAGAATTTATGTTCTGCATGTGCTGCAGCCCAAATTATTCAAGATAATCCAACAGTAATTATACTTAATTAAAAAAATCTGAGTACCAAATCAAACTGTTGTGGACAAACACGCACCCCTGTTGACGAGGTTAACTGTTAAGCATGCTTCATGAAAGAAATAATGGAGATTTTTACTTCCACAGTCGAAGGAGTCGTCCTCCGTCCTGAGCTGTGACATCTCAGCAGATGACAAATACATTGTGACAGGATCTGGTGACAAGAAGGCCACCGTCTACGAGGTCATCTACTAGACAGAAAAGGAGGCTCCTGTTCTGCTTCAGCACTTACAATGAGATGACTTTTTCTTCCCCCGACCATATGTGGACTACAACGTGCTGAGACAAATTTACTGGAGCTGTTGGCTTAAGTATGCTTGTGCTGGAAAGAAGTTACTTTCACTTTTTGGGTTACTTTTTGGTTTTCATTGAGAATATTTGGGTGTAACCCGATGAAGCGGCGCTTCATTCTGAGAAACACGTCCCCAAGACGTCTTGTGAAAAGTGTACATATCGGATTAAATAAAAGACCTTTTATATATATTATAAAAATATATATTTTCATGTCCTGGGTGTACTTGTGATGATTTTTTTGGCACATTATCTTATGCCAAGATATTTGAGTGGGAGAGAAAGAACATAGATTAGACCTTTTTAACAATTTTACTTTCTGATTTTCTTAAAGCACATTCTCCAGGCTGACCTTTTCAGAAATCAAACAGAGGTGCATGAAAATTGTAAGTAGGACATTTTGTGGAGATTTTAAAATGGCCTTTTGTCACAGTGCTCTTACCGGACAATGAAAACGTGAAGTCCTCTGACTCGGGCAAAGCCTCGGCTGGTTTTGGACGCTGTGATTCAGGAAAAGAGATGGATGTAAATTTAATTCAAATATAAAAAGACTTTTTTTAAATTGTACATCTCTGTCTGTGCTATCTTTCTCCATGTTTGTTTTACCTTGTTAGATTATGGGAGAATGTTTAATGTTTAGCCTAACCCTTGGACCTCAGTTGGCAGCAGACACAAACTGGATGACAATGTGCTTTTTGCTAACTTGACGTAATATGGATGTTGAATTTCACCATTGATTTCTTGGCTGCAGACTAAACTCAAACAGTCCAATCTGCGCTATTGGACTCCTTCTGCCCTTTCTATCTTATCAATATTCCTGGAATATGTTTGGTCGGCCGTGATGGAGAGACATGTAAATGCTCGTGAAGAAGGACAGAAGGGCAACTGATGTACACAAATTAGAAAATCAAGCGTCTCCCATGATGATGCCAAGACAACAGTGAATAATTCTGGTTTGTACACTGTGCTCCAGATCCTGTCAGCATTTTCCACAATAAAAAGGGGCAAAATGTGCCAGTCCCTCTGAATCACACCAAAGTATGTAGCAAATGCTGTCAGCACTGAAAAGAAATGTACAGTTGTTAATAAATCAATAAAACAGTTTTTTGTAGAATGGTCTATTTTCCTTCCTTATAACCTTTCATTGGGCGTTGCCTACAAATACGTTTATTTGCAGAGCATTAGATGAGAAGATTGATGCCACTCATGTCTGAATGCTTAATATGAAGCTACAGCGAGAAGATGGTTAGCTTAGCATACAGAATGGAAACAGCTAGCCTGGCTCTGTTGCCTGGCAACAATGATACTGCTCCTGGCCCCCAACCCTGTGAAAAACGTCTCTGGTTACGTATGTAACCCTGGTTCCCCGAAAAGGGGAACGAGACACTGCGTCGGTTCCGACACTATGGGAACGCCTCTAGGCGAAGCAGGTCTGAACGTGAATGAAATCACTCCAATCCTATTGGCTTGTTGCTAGAACTGTAAGGTGTGACGGAATAACCGGAGGAGTATAAAGCACACCTGTACACACTCATCATTAGCTTAAACTATGAAGCAGGCGCTTCAGGCGGGGAGAAAGGTGCGGCGGGCCGGCGCAGTGTCTCGTTCCCCTACTCGGGGAACCAGGGTTACATACGTAACCCGAGACGTTCCCCTTCGAGGGAACTCGAACTGTGTCGGTTACGACACTATGGGAACGAGATACCCACTAAACCGTGCCGAAAACCCCGCCTGCCCCTGTGTGCAATAAAGTGGCACGACTAAGAGGAGAGCGCATGAGTGCCAGGTGCCGAAGGAAGGTCAAGACTGTAAAACCGAATGAATGTGTGCGGAGTGGCCCAGCCAGCCGCTAAACAAACATCCTGCAAAGAGGCCCCGGAAAGGAGGGCTCGAGAGGCCGCCATGCCTCTGGTAGAATGAGCCCTCACAGCCACAGGTGAAGGCAAACTGTGCACCTGATAGGCCAGGGAAATAATCTGAACAATCCAGTTGCGAATAGTTTGTTTGGATGCAGGGAGCCCGGCCCTGGGAGACCCAAAACACACTAGCAGCTGGTCAGCCTTCCTCCAACGGGAGGACCTCAGAGTGTAAATACTCAGTGCTCTGACAGGGCAGAGCAGATGAAGTCTCCCGTCCTCCGCCGTCACATGAGGTGGAGGATGAAATGCCTGCAGCACTGTGAACCCTGCCGCACAAGAAGGCACTTTAGGGATGTATCCTGAACGAGGGTGCAGGATAGCCCTAATATTCCCCGGGGCAAACTCCAGGCTTTGCGGGGAAACCGAAAGCGCTTGGAGATCCCCCACCCTCCTCAGAGAGGTGATAGCAAGGAGAAAGGCCATCTTGAGGGTCAAGTGCTTAGCCTCAGCTGACTCCAGGGGTTTGAAGGGGGCCTCAGCCAACGCCCCAAGAACCACTGCCAGATCCCAAGGGGGAACCTTGGACCGAGTCGCAGGTCTCATCCTCCGTCCACACGGAGGAGACGTACAACCAAGGGAAGTTTCCCCAAGGACCCCTCCCTCAGAGGGGTGTGGAAAGACGAAATAGCTGCCACGTACACCTTGAGGGTGGAAGGGGAAAGACCAGCAGAGAACCGGTCCTGGAGGAACTCAAGTACCTGAACCACCGGGCAGGTAACAGGGTCCACCGACCGCTCCCTACACCAAGTGGAGAAAACACTCCACTTCAGGCTGTACATCCTCCGTGTGGACAGGGCCCTGGAGCTCAGGAGGGTCTCGACTGCTACGGCTGTTAGACCCGCCTCTAGGTACTGTGCCCCCTCAGGGACAGCAGGTCTCTCCTCAGAGGGACCCGCCACGGATCCACGGTGAGTGAGTCGGGACACTGCCCGACTGCAGACCCTCGGGGCAGGCAGTACGGCGTGGACTCGATGGTGGCAGGTGCGTCCTGAACGTGTAAACGGCGGGATAACATCGCCTGTTGCCACGGCGGAGGGGACCTCGGTCGGCCTCCGGGGGGGGGTGGGGGAGGGGAGAAAGACTCCCCTACCCCGGTCTTCCCTGAGCTCCGTCGGGACTGGATGACGGTCCTCAGATCACGTCTCTCAGACGGCTGAGGGTGAGAGCGCCGTCCCGCTGCCCCAGCTCCTCGGGGGGGCCCCCGAGAAGCGACACTCTGCTTCCTCTCCTCTCCGTAGGAGCTCGTAGAGGGAAGGGACCTACGCCTGGCAGCCTCAGCTGCCTTGGGTCCAGACCGGCGAGGGAGGTACTGGCGGAACGCTTCGCCCTGCGTCTAACGCTCCGTGGTTCTGCGAAGCTCCGCCAGATCTTCCCCAGAGGGACCCCCCCTCTGAACCATCTCCTCTAGCAGGTCGGCTTGGTAGGCTTGAAGCACCGCCATGGTGTGCAAGCTCGCACCTGCCTGGCCCGCTGCCATGCACGCCTTCCCCACGAGCGTGGATGTGCTGCGACATGGTTTGGATGGTAACGCCGGCTTCTCCAGGGAGGACGCAAGTCGAGGGGAGAGATAGCATCCTCCACCCGAGGCATCCTCCCATAACCACGGTCCCTAACCCCCATCACATTACTGTAGTTCAGTGATCGGGGTGTGGAAGCCATGTAGAGAAGGGTCTGCCCCATGATTACTCAGTTCATCATGTAAATCAGGAAAGAATGGCAGAGACCGGCGTGGAGGTGGCACGTGGTGCTTAAGAAACCTTTCATCAAGCTTACCACTAGCCTGTGGTGTCTGCTCCTCCTGTGGCCAGTTGATGTTGAGCTTAGCCACGGCTCTAGTCACCACCTCCAGCAGCACGTCATAGTCGGACGCCGCCAGATGACGCCGCCCCGACACCCGGAAGTCATCGTCCACTACGCTGAGCACGTCCGCCTCCTCGGAGTCTGATTGCTGCAGCGTCTCCGGATCCAAACCGCGAGCGGGAGAAGCCGAGAACGGGCTCCCGAACAAGGAAAGGAAGCGTCGGAGCCAGCGGATGAAGGTCGGGAAAAAGCTTCAGCCGTCCCAAAATCCTCCGACAGATCACGCTGTGAACCCCATGAGTGAAGCCGCCGGGCCGCCTCAGCGGCCGCAGGGCACACACCACGGGGAGAACACATCCGGCCATCCTCGGAAAAGAGAGCCATGCTGTACCTCAGTACCCGCACGGAAAGGGCTTCGCAACGGGCGCAGGCAGCCCCCTCGAGAGCTGCCCGGGCGTGCTCCATCCCCAAACATGAGACACACATGTCATGAGAATCTCCATCCGTGATGTACCGAGGGCAAGAAAAAAAACGCACCTTCTGTACATCTGGTTGCCGGACATGCTGGTAGACTTCTTCTTCAGGTAAGACACACTGCTTGTAGGACTGGAGCTTTCTTCAAACAACATACAGAGCGCCTGCTGAATAGAAAAAAGCTAATGATGAGTGTGTACAGGTGTGCTTTATACTCCTCCGGTTATTCCGTCACACCTTACCGTTCTAGCAACAAGCCAATAGGATTGGAGTGATTTCATTCACGTTCAGACCTGCTTCGCCTAGAGGCGTTTCCATAGTGTCGTAACCGACGCAGTTCGAGTTCCCTCGAAGGGTAACCACGTGTCGAGATATTCCTTTAAAAACATCAACTTATAAAACACCCACCGTGTGTTTTAGACTATATTTTAATCTATCAACAAATAATAGATAAATTGAAGCTTTAGCATTTAGACCTTCATGTTCACACAAGAACAGTTGGCTGTAAAAAATAAGACATGAAACATGTTAGAAACCCGGTAATGTTTTTCTGAGGCTAATGGAGGGTGCAAAGAATGACCTCTGTGTTTCAAAAAACCACAGCCATGGCCCTGATCAACAGGGATCTAGTGCCCATGTATGAACGAAACAGGGATCCACACATCCTCTGACATCATCATATCTCTCCGTATCTCAGAGAGGTACAGGAGTTAGAAAGTAAACCAGTATTTGAGGATTGTGAAAGACTTGAGTGATCGGTTTTGGCCCACCTCACCGTGACCATGGACTCGTTCAGGCTCGTCTCCGTGTGAAGTTGACAAGGGACAATGTTGGGTGTGTTCCTGAATTTCATGGTGATCTCTGTTTAAAGAGGAAAACAAACAGCATGAAAGATAGTAGCGTTTTGTGGTTAAGTTCAGATGGCAGATAAGATGAATGGACATTTGAACTTTTGTGAAATTCTGACCTGTTTATGAATCAAAACAAACACACATTGGCTGAGAAAGTCACTTACTATATGTAGTTCATGTAATGGTACCTAACACAACACTAAGGGACTGCTACAACCTGCAAGGCAGGCGTCATGTAACCAATGGAAGCCAAGCTAGGACCACTGCTGCAAGCTAATCTGCTAGCATGTTCACTGCTAACTTACACACTGACTGTGGGTTTGACAATGTTAAAATTTGAAAAGTTGTTTTTACAATGGACATGTAAATTATATGTTATAAGTTTACCAAAGTAACATTGAGCTATTTTCTCTTGATTATCTGTTATTTCTCCACACAGACATTCTGAGCAAAGCTAGTGGAGGTCAGTAAGGATAAAAAGTAACAGATATTGAAGGGATCCTTAAATGTAGTTTTCACACTGATTATCTACAGGTGAAACTCGAAAAATTTCAAAAGAAGTTCATTTATTTTAGTAATTCAACTTAAAAAGTGAAACTAATATATTATATACTCATTACATGCAAAGTGAGATATTTCAAGCCTTTATTTGATATAATTTCGAAGATTATGGCTTACAGCTTATGAAAACCCCAAATTCAAAATCTCAGAAAAGTAGAATATTGTGAAAAGGTTCAGTATTGTAGGCTCAAAGTGTCACACTCTAATCAGCTAATTAATCCAAAACACCTGCAAAGGGTTCCTGAGCCTTTAATTGGTCTCTCAGTCTAGTTCAGTGGAATTCACAATCATGGGGAAGACTGCTGACCTGACAGTTGTGCAGAAAACCATCATTGACACCCTCCACAAGGAGGGAAAGCCTCAAAAGGTAATTGCAAAAGAAGTTGGATGTTTTCAAAGTGCTGTATCAAGGCACATTGATAGAAAGTTAAGTGGAAGGGAAAAGTGTGGAAGAAAAAGGTGCACAAGCAGCAGGGATGAGGATTGTCAGGAAAAGGC